AAGATAGACCACATGCTGGGGCATAAGGCGAATCTACATAAATTTAAGCACTTTGATATCATACAGACCTCTCTCTCTGACCACTGTGCCATGAGGCTGGAAATCAACAAAAGGAAGATGAAGAAAACAAGAGCAAATACAGGTCAGAGATGAAATTAGGAAATTTCTAGAAACCAACGAGAATGAGAACACAATGTGCCAAAGCTTATGGGACACAGCAAGGCAGTCATCAGAGGAAGCTTCATAGCAATACATGTACACCTGAGAAAGGAAGACAGACTCATGACTGATATGCTGACACAAAATTTACAACAACTAGAGCATAGTCAGCAGGACAATCCTACTAATAGCAAAAGAAAAGAAATTATAAAAATCAGGGCTGAGATTCAGGAGAGGGAAAATAAGAAAACTATGGAAAAATTAATGCTGCTAAAAGTTGGTTCTTTGAAAGGATAAACAGAATCGATAGACCGCTGGCAAACCTAACCAAAGAAAGTAGGGAACAAATTTCAATAGCAAGAATAAGGGATGAAAGAGGGGACATTACAACAGAACCTAATGAAATCAAAAGGATAATTACACAGTACTACGAAGGATTGTACTCCAATGAATTCAACAACTTGGAAGACATGGACAAATTCTTGGAAAAACAATCCCTCCCTAGACTATCCTCGATGGGCATCAGAATTAGCCAAGTTTATTATTGAGGGGGGAAGGGGAGAAGGGAAACTAACTCCGGGCATGTAGTGAAAGCAAGATCCAATGCTAGAGATTTTTCTAATTATATACAATTCCATTTTATTTATATTTAATCTGCTGTTCTTTCTCTTCTTCATAATTGGTTTAAATTCTTCCTTACATTGCCTCCATGGTGCTTCTAAGTGATTGTACATATCAGATCATTCACACGAGTCAATATTACTCAAGCAGCTTAGGCATATGCTTGCGCATGTGCGCACGCACACACACACACCTCTTGATGGCAACTGGGACCTCCAGGAAGCCTCCAGCTCCACCAGCATTTACTCATCCCTACTTCCTGTTGTTGTTGTAAATGCTTTTGAGTTGTTTTTGACTCATAGTGACCCTGTATACTACAGAACGAAGCACTTCCGGGTCCTGAGCCATCATCACAATTGTTTTTATGTCCGAGCCCATTGTTGGAGCCACTGTGTCAATCCATATTGTCTGCAGCCTTTTTCTTTTCTTGCTGCATGGTGTCCTCCAGCAAGCGGTCTCATCTGGCAATATATCCAAAGTACATGAGACGAAGTCTAACAATCCTTGCCTCTAAGAATTCTGGCTGTACTTCTTCCAAGACATATTTGGTGGTTCTTTTAGCAGTCCACGGTACTTTCAATATTCTTTGTCAGCTCCACAATTCAAATGTATTCGTTCTTCTTTGGTTTTCCCCTATAATATGTTCAGCCTTCATATTCATATGTGAAAATGCCATGGCTTCGGTCAGTTGCACCTCAGTCCTCAAAGTAACATCCTTGCTTTTCCTAATTCAACTCATCTTTTGATCACTTCTTAACTGCTGCCTCCATGAGCATTGATTAGGGATCCAAGCAAGACCAAATCTTTGCCAACTTCAACATTTTTTCCAGGGATCACGATGTTACCTACTGGCTCAGCTGTGAGCATTTTGGTCTTCTTTACATTGACTTGTAATCCACACGGAAAGCTGCAATTATGGATGTTTATTTGCAAGTGCTTCAAGTTCTCACTTTAGCAAACAATATTGTGTCATCTGCATATCACAGGTTGTTAATAAGCCTCCTTCCAAATCTTGAGCTACATTCTTCTTCATATAATCCAGTATCTCTATTTGCTCATAATACAGATTTAATAAATATGGTGAAAGACCTCAACCCTGACATACACCTTTTAGATTTTAAACTATAGATTTATCCTTCCTTCTGTTTGCACAACTGCTTCTTGGTCCATTTACAGCTTCCTACAAAATTATATTTTAGGTTGCAATTGAAGCTTGAAAAATCTTTACTGAAGAGCTCAAGGAAATGGCATGCTTTTCAAAGTGAGGTTTTCAGATCACTTGCATCAGAATCACCCAGGTTGGTCACAAGAGTCAACATTTGTACCTTCTGTGCCCCTTAATGTCCGAGTGTTTCAAGCCACAACAAAAACATCCTTCTATTTATATATTAGTCACATGAAAGGAAAAGAATATAATTTTGAATACTGATAAGAAAACCTCAAAATATTCAGATCATCAACTCAACTTTTTTCTAAACTAAAACAAAACTTACAAAGTCAATTGCTAACCAAAACATTGTCAGTTGAAACACATCCAGAGGTCCCCATAGGAGAAAAATATAGAAATTTTCTCCCCCTAAAATTACAAACTAGAAAAACTTATTCTGGCACATGAGTTTACTGAGTTGAAAATTGCACCAAACAACAACAGCATAGCTACAGGAAGTGTCACAACAAGGTAAATAACACATCAGCCACAATAAAATCTACTATGGTCAGTTTCTCATGTCTTGACTATGCTCAGTAAACTTTCTTATATAAGACTTAGGATTCTTCAAACAAGGCATCAGATAAATGAATAGATTTTGGACGTCTGCATGTGGAAATGTCACAAACTCCCTTAGAGGCTCCTGTAAGACACTTACATGGGGTGTCTCACTATGCATGGAAACTACTCTTTATTCCATTTATTTTCAACCCATTTAATTTAAACAAGAATGGCAAGGGCTTACTTTTTCTTTACTGCATCTGTGTAATTATAACAACTTTTATGACAACTGTAGAAGTATTCTGAGGATAAATCATTCCTTTACCCTTAATTCAGTATTCTCTGTTGCTACTTTCCTCTCCCCTATGCCTCCACACTTTCTCGCCTGCCTGTCTCTGAATTTTCTGTCTTCAGCATGATTTGCTGCCTCTGGCATAACCTAACAGGAAGTTTCGAATCACAGAGCTCATTCTGGGAAATTGTATGACTGCTTGGTTGGTTTTCCAACTTTTATTATATCCGTACTAACTAATTACCCCAAAACTTAGTGGTCTACAATGTTCATTACTTTATTAGGCTGGGTTTTCTGGAAAAGCAAAGCCAGCAGTGTGTGTGTGCGTGGGTGTGTGTGTGTAAAGAATTTTATACCAAGAAAATGACTCACACAGTTTAAAAGCCGTTTACTCCAGCCTGGATCAATTTCATGGGTCAGATTTGCATAGCTGCTGAGGCTTACAAATGAAGTAGAAAAACCACAGTTGGTGGAGGCAGAGGTGAATGAATCCAAGGTCAGAAAGTCAGGCTCATGATTACAGTCTAAGGAATCCAATGTTGGCAGGCTCCTGATAGCTCTCAAGGACTGCATGTCAATGAGAAAGAATCTGCACCCAGAAGAACTTACTTCCCCACAATGTCAGCTTATACAGGAGTAGGCAACACAGCCAATGAAACTTCCTTCCAATTTCATAGGGCTTTAAACTGATCAAAAGAGTAGCACTCCACCCTAATCTTCCCGCAATTGCTTGGCTGCTCACAGTAGATTCCATCATGAAGTTGATTATACTATGTTAGATCACATCATTGGAGATTACCAGGCCCTAACTGCCAAACTCCTGAGAATCCTGGCCGAGCCAGACTGACAAATCCTAATGATCACAATTACCTTACAGTTTCTATGAGATGGAATCAGAATGTAACTAAGCTACACTGGGTTCTCCTACCTGGAGGTCTCTCATAATATCGCATTCAGGTTTGACTAGGGCTATGATCTCACCTGAATACTCATTCTAGGCAGGAGCTGCTTTCAGGCCGCTCAGGTAGCTGTTAACCAGTCTCAAGTCTTCTGTGGTTGTGGGCCAGATCCTTTCCACTTGGATCTCTTTATTGGGTGGCTCTTAATACAACAACTGGCTTCTTTCAGAACAAGTGAGTGAAAAAATATGAGTGAAGGAACCCAAAGAAAGAGCCATAATCTTCCTTAAGTTCATCAAGACATGGCATTTTATCACTTCCAAAAAAAGCCCATTTATTGGAAGCCAGTCACAGCTTCCACCTACACTCAAGGGGAAGGGTTACCCACAGGCAGACACCACTGGGGGCCCATCTTGGATTTCTGAGTGATCGGTTCAGTGCGGTAAGCACTCAGTCACTAACTGGGAGGTCAGTGATTTGAGTCCAGCAACCGCTCCATGGGAGACAGATGTGGAGTCTGCATCAATGCCTTTCCTGTGGGGGCAAATCCTATAAGATAACGATGAGTAGAAATTGACTCAACAGCAATGGGTTTGGTTTGAGTTTGGGATTCCAGTACACTTCATTATTGATTCTGTGTGACTTCTAAATGACTTTGTTAAGTGGAGGAGCCCAACTCAAGTGGTGTAGTGGTTAAGTGCTTAACTTCGAATTGAAAGGTTGGTTGTTTGAACCCTGCAGCTACTCCACAGGCAAAATAGTTGACAGCTTGCTTCGGTAAAAAAATTCAGTTTTAGACAGCCTATGTCCCATACGTTCACCATGAGTCGGAATCAACTGGGCAACAATGTACATGCAATGGAATAGATTTCTGAAGTCTTAAGTAAATGCCTGTACTAAAATCATACATGTGCTGTACTGCTTGAGCATTTATAAAAAAAAACTCATATATATATATATATATATATATATATATATATATATACACATACATAGTCATTAAAAGTATTTGTTCTCAAAAAATTATTTGTTCATCTAGAAAAGAAAGAGGAAGAAGAGGACAAGAGAGAAGAATTTGAAGAAGAAAGGAGTTATGAGGAAAAAAGAAGTGTGAAAACGCATGCCATGCTTGCAGTGTTCCAATTTATTATGAAGCAAAGCTACATCTGCGCTCTCATTGCAATGATGGTAGGTATGGTGATGGTGTTCATGTGATGGTCTGTGTGAGCAGCATAGTCTGCTGAGCGTTGCTGCCTGAGCCCTGCTACTTCAAAGTCCTGTAATCCCCTCATGGCCAGCATCAGTACCATACAACACCCAGTACTTCAGGAAAGGATGGTGTTATGTGAGCTTCTCAAGGGATTTTTTTTTTTAATATTATGGATTGCAAAAACTTTCCCTTCTACTTCTTTAAATATGTATACATTTCATTCAGAGTAGTTTATGAAGTCATATTGTCCTCATTTTACCAATTTAAAAGAACACAATGGATAGTTTTCTTAGAAGTTATTGACGGTCTTTATGGTTGACATAGATTGCTTTTTTTCTCTCAAATGGTAAGTTATATTCACATACTATCTTAGATTTGGGTGAGACTTTCAATGGTCATTCCAAAGAGTTTCTGCCAATATGATAATCAGGCCACCAAAATGCCCAAATATTTTTACCAATTGTGAGCACAAGATTTATGTGTTTCTACTCCCTTCAAGGAACAGCCCCCCATGTCAACAGCACATCTGTGAAAATGGTCCTTTGGTCCATAGACAGAAGGTAAATGAAGATCCAATTTATTCACGTACTGAAAACAATTTTTTTTTTTTTGGAAACCTGATTTGTTCTTTAGAAATCTAACTCTCTGATTAAAAAAATTTTTCTTTTTCCAAATGTGATGGCCAATGGCCCCATAGATACCTTTATGAAAGATTCTGTATAACTTTACCCCTGCCCCCCTCACCACAAGATAAAAAACCAAGTCATTGCCATCAAGTCAATTCTAACTCTTAGGAATCCTGTGAGGTAGGAGTAGCACTGCCCCATAAAGTTTCTAAGGCTAAATGCTTATGGAAAAGAACTGCCACGTCTTCCACAGAAGGACTGGTGGACTTGGATTGCCTCCCTTTCAGTCAGCAGGTATGCACTTTAACCAGTGTACCACCAGAGCTCCTTGCTGGAAATGTAGCAGTGGGGGGTGGGGTGGGGGGTGCATCATTAGCACAGCTTCTCCAGACACTTGGTCAAAATATTGAACTTGTGCATACTCATCAATATCATTGGCTCATGTGAGAGAATGACATTGGAAAGAGAAAGCTGCATTGAATTAAGTGTGGTGCATGTTCAATTGCAAACACTATTCTTTAAAAAAAAAAAGTATTCTGTGTTTTTTTTATTCTCATCTAATATTTTCTATATGCCAACCTGTATTTTAAACTATAGAAAATATCTGATTTTTCAGTATTGAATTTATTCAAATTTTATTCTGAACTCAAAAAAGTATATACTTGTTTTGTTTTTCTCTTAGCCCAGTAAGTTTGATCTTCTGAATAAAGAAATGTAGCTTTAAAAAACAAAACACAAAATCTTTCACATTTACTTACTAGGAAAAAAACTGTGTAAAATCAAAATAAAAGAGCAAATCCTTCATTAGAAATATGATTCTTGCCACATTATTAATGTTTTAAAAGTGTCTGCTTCCCATAGAAGCTTTCCCTTAACCAGCTTTTTAGCACAGACAGAAACAGAAGTCTTAAGAACTTCTTATGTTAGCATGATAAGCCTTTATTTAATCTCAAGAATAATTTCCTAAACTATTAGAAAACTCTGAAATCTGACATAGAAGACAGCATAATACAGATTCCATCTTCCAAGAAAAATAATGATTATAATTTTTTCCCCTTCACCTTCCTATTTCCTCTAGTAAGAATTGTGTGCAGGGAAAACCTTGCTGGGATTGTAATATTTGGGATAATGATTACAATGGATTAAAAATAGCAAAATTCTATCTTTATCTTTTAAGTAAATAGCCTAAATATATTATTTATTACCAATATTTTAAGTGCATTGTTTAATGCAAATGCACTAATTGTTACCTAATCTTTGTTCAATATGACCTTCAAGAAAAAATATATTATGAAAGTAATTCAGGCTTGATAACAGTTGACAGTTACTGACTCCTTTTAATAAAAGCCACGTGAATTTCTAATTATCTTTATTGTGTCTTATAACTAAAATTTGTACATAACTCATTATTTTATAAGCAAATTGTCTTTTACCATAAATTTGAAAATTCCTGAAAATAAATATTTGTTCAAATTGACTTTTTAATTTATATCTTCAAAACAATAAGACTGAAACACTGGAAAGTATTTGGAAAGGTTTTACCATGTGTGTCTGTGGTATTAGAGATTATACCGAGAGAGTGTAAGTATTTGAAGTTAATATTAATTCATGAGCTTAATTTACAGACTTTCTAGAGCTTCCTCGTGTGTATCCTCCAATTCCCATCATGTATCTTCTTGGATAGTCTACTAAGAACAACGTTTGAAGGCCTACTTGTATACTACTTTCACCATTTCTGTCTCTGAACCCTAGTGATAGCCCACACTCACTCATCTCTCATAACAACAGCTAACTTCAAGTGATTTTCTAAACAGAAAGGAGAAAATGATGAATGTTTTTTGAGGAAATTATCAACAACCAAATCCAAACTCACTACCATCAAGTCAATGCCAACTCATGGTGGTCCTCTAGGCGGGGGGCCTGAGACAGTAACTCTCTACAGGAATAGAAAACCCTGTCTTTCTCCCTCTCAGTAACAATTGCCTTTTAATACTGTAAAGTAGGGTAAAGCAAAAAAAAAAAAAAAATTGAGGTAAGGTAAAGATGACAGTGATCTTGGTGGCATAGTGATTACATGTTGGGCTGCTAATTGCCAAGTTCGCAGTTTGAAACCATCAGCCACTTTCTACTTCTATAAAGAGTTACAGTCTCTACCCTGTCCCCAAGGGTCATTATGAGTCAGCATCATATTGATGGCAATGAGTTTGTTAGTTTGTTTGAAGAGACCAATATTTGACTTACAGTGAGGACATTTCCCTACTGACTCTACTCATTAAAGAAAGTTCAAAAGCAAAGTTCTCAGCACCATCAGTCGTTCCCTCTTCTTCCTCCCCTTTGCTGCTGGTGAGGGTCCCTTCACAAACCTCACCATTCTGCCCTCTCCCCTATTTAAGATCACTTAGCATTTCTTTTTCTTGTTTGTTTACTTTTAACTTGATAGAGTAAGAGGAGTATATTGTATTAACTGCTATCTCTTTTTCTTTTCTCCTTCAAGGCTTGGAGTATTACCTACCATAGTTGGTTGACATTTGTATTATTGATTTGGTCATGTACTCTTTGGATGATTCGGAATAGAAGAAAATATGCGATGATCAGTTCTCCTTTCATGGTTATTTATGCAAATCTGTTGCTGGTATTACAATATATATGGAGTTTTGACCTTTCTGAAATTCCAAAGGTGCCAGGATTTTTAGAAAAGAAAAATCCAGAAGAACTCGCTTCAAAGGTAAGTGAATAGGAAAGCCTGAAAACAAAATAATTATACACAACCACAATAAGTATATACAAACAAAATAAGTTCTGGAACCAGATAGTTTTACCAGGGAATTCTACCAAGTATTTAGAGAAGCATTAACACCAATCCTATATAAACTATTTCAGAAATGGATAATATATTATAAAGATCATTTTATTAATCAAATATAACTAAACCAGGCAAATACATCACCAAGAATCAAAATTATAGACCAGTGTCCCTTATGTACCCAATTTTAACAAAATTCTAGGCAACAGAATTCATGAAAACTTAAAAAAGAAGCCATCATGACAAAGTGGAATTCATACCAAATATGCAAGGATGGTTCAATAATAGAAAAACAATCAACAGAATAAACCACATAAACAAAGGAAAAGAACTATGTGATTATATCTATCAATGCAGTAAAGACATTTGATATAATTCAACATCCATTTTTTTAATAAAAACACTTAATGAAATGGTAATAGAATGCCATATATACAAAATGAACAGTTAGCACCTAACTTAATGGTGAAAAATGTAAAACTCCCCCTACAAGTGGGTACCACACAGGATTTCCTTTGATCATTACTTTAATATAGAATATGGAAGTCTTAGCCTGAGCTACAAAACATCAAAATAAAGACAGCCAAATTGGCACAGAAGAAACAAAACACTCTTTAATAGCAGATGAAATAATCTTACATTATATAACCCTGAAGACCTAATTTAAGAGTTGCTGAAACTAATTAAAAACTTTGTCAAAATAACAAGGTTTAAGATCAACATTCAAAAGTCAATTGGGTTCTTATAGATTAAAGAAGAGGATTCTGAAAGGAAATTAAAAGAACAAAAGTATTTGGACTGCTGACCAAAATATCAAAAGTTCAAAAGCACCAGATGTTGATGGGGAAATATGAGGTCTCGGAAACCAACAAAGGCACTTCTACCTTGTTGCTATGAGTTAGAATCGACTTGGGGGCAGTGAATTATACAAAAGATAAAATATGAAGAAATAGCTCTAACAGAGAAACAAAAGACATATACAAAGAAAACTATAAAACACCTCAACAAGAAGCCATAAAAAGACATACAAATGGAAGAATGCCCATGCTTATGGATAGCAAGACAATATAGTGAAAAATATCAATATTACCAAAAGCACTTGTAAGATTAGCAAGTCCATCTCTCTTACAAGACAAACAGGTTCAAGAGGGCATGATATGCAATGAGAAAACTTACAGATAAGAGAAAAAGGAAAAAAATAAAATAAAAAAATTTTTGAAAAAGGGATGGAGCAGTTGGACCATGGGGGACAGATTGAGGAGATATCCTCCAAGGGACTGAACTTTACTTGAGGCAGGCTTATATACCCTCCCAGTCACACAGCCTGCATCTCGCGACGGTTTATACACAAAGGGGCAGTTGAGGGCCCAGATAGGAGGCAGGGATACAGTTGGGAACAGGGAGTAACTGAAATTTTGCAGACTGCCTCACTTCAGCAGGTTTGCCAGGGCACAGGAGGAAGTGTCCACTCTATCTCAGGTGGAGAGTCAGCCCAGCCAGTGCATCATCAGCTTCCTGGGTTGAGCCATCAGCATGTTCCCTCCGGTTTTGAACGGTGAAAGGTGGTGGTCCTGTCCCATTTGCCTAAGGAGCAAACAACTTTGCCCTTATGAGCACTCTATAATTCAATGCAATTCAAATCCACATACCACCACGATTCTTTAAAGAAATGGAAAAACTAATCACCAACTTTATATGTAAAAAAAAGAAACCAGGATAAATAAAATAATATTAAAAAACGAATATAAAGTTAGAGGCCTTTCATGCCCTGATTTCAAAGCCTATTATTATAGTCATGGTAATGAAAGCAGCTTGGTATTGGTACAACTGTAGATATATAGACCAATGAATTAGAATAGAAAAATTATAAATACATCCAAGAACCTACAGGCACCTGACATTTGAGAAAGAACTAAATCACATTAAATTGGGAAGAGATACTCTTGAATACATGGTATAGAAAAAATTCAATCTCTACCTGCAAAACACTAAAACAGGACCCATAACTCACACTATGTACAAAAATGTACTCAAGATAGATTAAATATCTAAATATAAACTTTCAAACCACAGGGATCATCAATGAAAAATGCAAACAATGAAAAATGAAGGCAGTCCTGTGCTCCCTGGAAGCCAGAAAACCACACCACACTCACCGCTGCCATCAAGACAATGGTGACCCATAAAGACCCCCTGTGGGTTTCTGAACCTGTAACTGTTTATGGGAGTAGAAAGCCCACTCTTTCCCCCTGATTCTGATGGTTTTGAACTTCCAATCATGCAGATCACAGTCCAACTCATAACCACTATGTCATCAGAGCTCCTTGGAAGCCAAAAAAAGAATTTAAAAGCTACGTTGTAATTAGATGATTTCATGTCAACTAGACACTCTGGCTAGGGGCGGAGTCAAAGCTGTCAATCAGGCCTAATGCTGTGTCCTTAGGGATGTGGCTGTCTCATTCTGCCTTCCTGCCTAGTGGGACTCTGCCACTGACCCTGAGAGTTGCCTGAGCCCTGCCATCTTTCCACTGACCTTGTATCCAAATAATTCTGCACCCACTGGTCTGTGATATTCCTGCATCATTGCATGTGGCTGTATGGGTCTGAAGAGGGACTTATGGACTAGTGTTGGACTTATGGACTGGTGTGCTTTCTAGTCAACCTTGTCGAACACATAAAAACACCAAAATTACTTAAAATCAGAGATCATTTGAATGTTACTGACTCTTCACCATGGAACAGCAATCTGAGCCCTTCTGTGCACTTTCCCTCCTCTGCACAAGCTGTTTCTTCCCTGCTCCTGCTCCAATCCACCCAGGCAAAGTCCTCACCTTACTGCCCTCTGAAGGCTTGTGTAGGTCACAGATTGCATGGCAGCGTGGTGGAGAAATTCTCACTAGCCAAGTAACAGTTACTTTCCCCTATTTTTACGTCCTTCTCCAGAGGGTCCTTTGATTCCCCCACGCAGCCTCCCTGCTGCAGCAGCCATATGCACATATCCAAATCCCTACTGAAACTGGCTTTATTTTTTGGTTACTCTATTTTTTTTTCCCTATTAGTTCCTCTTGCCACGTGGCACAGCCCCTGATGATACACATGCCTCCCAGTTTATCCCAGGAATGCTCACAGATCAAACCACATGTACCCAAACCAGGTTTCTTCCCCCACCCCCTTTCTCTTGAAAGCCCATGGCAACCCATGTTAATGCTGCCATAGCAACACAACTCCACAATCACCCCCAATCCCTTACCCATCTTTGGCTTTTCTTTCTCTTCTCTGCACATTTACACTTTCTTCTTCTCTTTTCTTTTTCTATCTTCTTTTGCCTTTTTCCCCCCTGATATTTATCCTTCCTTCTCTTTTCTTGACATCCCCCCCACACACACACTTAAATTCTCTTCTTATGGACTAATTATTTGCTTACATTTTTCTCGTGAGCGACACAATAACTCTTTCTGCTCTTTCTTTTTCTCATGAAATGCACTTCCACACTACCTATTAATTCTTATTAACCAAATTAAAATAGATTTCCCATTGTTTCACAAACCTTTTGATCTATTATTATATTACTTTTATTTTATTCTCTTTTTTTCACTCCATTTTTCCTAATTACCAATCTTGCTCTCCTTTTCTCTACTTCCTGACTGTATATTTTCTGTCTTCTATTAAACCTTTCCCATGACACTACAGAAGCAACTACCCGTAAATGATCCAGCAGCCTGCATACCTCTAATAATTGCACCACAATACCATGCAAACAGCAGTCAACCAAACCACACCCACCAAAATCAAGAAAAACAAACACAAGGAATAAAAATCACCCAAACCCAATGGAGTACTCAAAAAAAAAAAGAGGCCATGGAATTGCCAAATACAATATTCAGAAGAATGCTGTTTATGAGCCTTAAAGAGATGTTGGGAATACTTATGAGGACAATGGAAGTAATTGAAAAACTAGAAACCCTACACAAAAAGGAGTATCAGAAGACAAACAATAAAATAACAGAATGCAGCAATGTGGTAAAATACCTGAGCAATTGAATAGAAGAAAGGGAAAGTCAAGTCAGGGAGCTCAAACACAAATGCTCTGACTATAATCGATAAGAGAAATAATCAACTAAAACAGCAAAATACTCTGAAGAAAGCCTGAGAATGATGTGGGAGACCATGTCGAGAAACAGCTTACACCTCCTTGAGATCCCAGTGCAAGGAGAAAGAAAAGTAATACAGAGAAAATAATACGAGAAATCTTGGAAGAAAATGTCTCCAACATCATAACCCTCTCTGTCATTGAGTTGATTCCAACTCATGACAGCCGTCTAGGACAGGGTGGGGCTGCGTTGTGAGTTTCTAAGACTAGAGCTCTTGACAGGAGGAGGAAGCTATTCAAGAAGCTGGAGTACTCAAAACAGGACAGACCCCCCAAAGAAAAACCCTGAAATATCATTGTCACACTCTTCAAGTTCAAGGAGAAAGAGAATCCTGAGTGCAACTAGGGAAAAAAGAACTGTCATCTATAAGGAGAGCCATAAAGGAAGGCATAGACTTCTCAGGAGAAGGCAGGAACACAATGGAATAACAAATAAAAGTATGGATTTAAAAAACTGTGCGCCAAGTATCTCTTATCCAGCAAACTTAAACCACAACGAGCGTGGTGGGGCATGGAGGAGGGCATTTATATAGTAACTATATTGGTAGTCCCAGGCCACTGTGCATTGTGCACCTCGTGGCAAGAGATCCGAACCAAAGTCCAATGACTGCTAATTCCGTAACCTCGGGATAGAAATCATGTGCTTCTTTTCACACTAGGGAGTTCAGCCTTAGGTCCAAGGGCTGCAGGTGAGTCTGAGGTAAAGTTGGGTTCACTTAGTGGGGTTTCCACATTGAGTCCTTCTGGTGTGATTATGAAGAATGTTGTGCACCTTGAAGAGACTAAATCAAAAGCCCAGTAGTTGAAAGCACATGGTCTGGGTCACCAAGGGCTGGATAGAAACTACATGGAAAATGTCCAGTTAGGAGCATAGTATCAAGCATATCCTCTCCCTCGGGGTTCTATAGAAGCATTGTTAAGCGTCGTTTTCCCAATAGGAAGTTGCTCTTCTCTGTTTACCCACCAAAAGAAATGTAATCACCTTCTCTAAGACATACATTCCCTCCTCTCCCTTTCTTAACTTCAATTTGCAGTAAGATTTGCTTATCCCTCTTGTATGTGTGTCTTTTGATTTGGGGAGATCTTAGCACAATCATATATGCAGCAATTGAATGATCTTCACCCTCTTCCCCCATCTTAAAAATGTATGCCAGCTGATGTGAAATCTCGTTCAAAGTAGTTTTTTTAAGATGTACACATCGAGGAGGTGATGTATGATTCCTGGAGGCTAGGCAGACTTTCTATCTGGTTGCTTGGGAGATCAGATTAGAAGATTGCGTGACCTGGGGGCAGGAGTCTGCCTTCATTTTGGTGTTTATCCTTGTGTAGTAGACTCAGAAGATTTGTCCTTTTGTGCTTAACTAACGTCACTCAGGATCATTTATGTCATAAGGGGTTTCACACTGATACTTAGGGATACATAATATTTCATTGTGTGTATGGACCAGCTTCTTGCTATTGTAAACTGTGCTGAAATGAACATGAGCAAGCATACATTTGTCCATGTTCTGTCTTTTTTTTCTTTTCTTTTTTTCATATGCCAAGCAGAAGTATTGCTGGATCGTATAGTATTTCTATGCCTGGTTATTTTAAGAATTGTTATATCACTTTCCACAATGGTTGTACAGACTTAAAAGTCCGCCAGCAGTATATAAGCGCTTCACTCTCCCCACACCCTCTCGAGGATGTCCTTGAGAAGATGGGAATTCCAGAACACCTGATAGTGCATGTGCTCAACTTGTACGTGGATCCAGAAGAAGTTATGCGAGCGAAACAAGGGAATACTGCGGTTGTATCCTCTCCATACAACTTCAATCTGTATGCTGAGGGAATAATCAGGGAAGCTGGATTATATGAAGAAGAATTCTGCATCAGGATGGGACGAGGGCTTATTAACAACCTTCAGTTAGCAGAAGATCAACCGTGCTTGCTGAAAGGGAGGAGAACATGAAGTACTTGTTAATGAAGACCAAGGATTGTAGTCTTCAATATAGATCACAACTCACTGTAAAGAAGACTGAAATCCTCACAACTGGAACAATTGGTAACATCATGATCAATGGAAACGAGATTGAAGTTGTCAAGGAGTTTGTCTTGCTTAGGTCCAACTGGCCAGCATTTATTATATTTTTGTTTATAGACTTGCTATTGATGTGCCTCTCATTGTGGTTCATCCAAACCAAAGCCAAAGTCACTGTCAGGGAGTTGATTCCAACTCAGCAACATGACAGGACAGTTTAGAACCGGTCCATAGGATTTCCAAAGCTGCAAATCTTTTAAGAAAGTAAACTGCCTCATCTTTCTCCTGTGGAGAAACTAGTGGGTTTGAACTGTCAACACAAGACCTAAATTCACTATATTACCAGGACTCCTAATGTGCTTTAGAGTAGAATTTTAATAACTATTTTCCAAAGAAAGTGAATTAATAGGTGGATGGGATATCTTTCACTTTGAATAACTGTTAATTTAAATATCTCTATTATGCATAAGTATCCAGTGACTTTCTTCAACATATATGCCATACAAATAAGTCCTGGTAAACGCCTAGAATGTACTGAAATCAAGGCCAGCATGCTTAAACTTCTGAAAATCTACCATAAGTTTCTGAAAGCTTAATACTAAACTTACGGACATCAAAATTCATTGAACTATAACCGCAATTTGGGAAAGAGCCTGTACTTTCCTAGCACATATGCATATAATAGAGGAGTAATTGGAATCAGATGGTCATCATTTCTAGGGATGAGGTTAAGAGTTGAGTAATTGGTAAGCTCTGATAAGAGTTGTGAGACAGCATCTTAACAGTTTAAGCTGAGCTTTACAAAGTCGCTAAGTTCGGCCAGTCTGGAGGTGTTCAGACTTTGAGGACTGAGGCCTTATTCTTGATTTATCTCATATTCCACCAAAGTGACATAGTACACCGCAAATTGTAGGAATTCAAACTCTCATGCATTGCTCTTGGGAATGTAAATGACTCAACTGTTGTGGCCAGCCATCAGGCAGTTTCTGAAAATATTACATAGAGTTTCCATAAGACACAGTAATCCCATTGGTAGGTATACATCCAAGAGAAATTAAAACATGCCCACATAAAATCTGGTACATGAATGTTCGTAGCAGCATCATTTATAATAGCCCAAAGTGGAAGCCAGCTAAATGTCTATCAGTTGATGAAAGAATAAATAAAATATGCTATAGCCATATGATAGAGTATTCAGTAAAAAAAGTAATGATACAGATATTCTTTGGAGGGTGATGAAAATATGCTAATATTGACGTTAGTGTTTGGTAGTGGCTGCATAACTGTGGATGAACTAAAAGTCAGTGAGTTGTACGTATGCTTCAAATGAGTGAATTATAGCTCAATAAAGCTAGTACCAAAAAGGGAAACCAATAACTCCGTGTCAGGTACTGCAAACCTTCAAGAACAAAGCTCCCATCATTTTCTTCCTAGAACTCCAGAAAATGTGAATATAAAAGTGCACTATTTGGAACTGTGTTTCCTTCCACTTTTGAAGATTGATAGGAATAATAAGGGATGCTATTTTCGGTGAAGTGAGTGCTGGGGTCATAGTGGTTAAAGTTCTCAGCTGCTAGAGAAAAGGCCGAGGTTCAAACCCACCAGCTGTTCTGAGGGAGAAATATGTGGCAGTCTGCTGTCAAAAAGTGTTAAACTTGGTAAATTGTGTGAAGCATTTCTACTCTGTCTTACAGGGTAGCAATGAATATATGAATCTCTTAACGACAGTGGATTTTATTTCGAGGAATTGATTTTTTTTCCTTAGGTGGAATGTTCAAATTAAGTAATATTTTAGAACCAAAGGCATGATTTGAGTCACTGTCTTTGCTAATTAAAAGTATGCATTGGGAAACACGTTTAACTTCTGGTAACTTCAGTTTCTTCTTCAGTCCCATGGGATTCACCTTGGAGAGGATGCAATCAAGGAAATTACACATTGAAATGTTGATGATGTCATATTTAGGAAAGAAAATCAATCAAGGACAAATAACTGTAGTAGAGCTTCAGAAGACTAATTGGATCTCCAAATGCATCTTCCTTGGGGACTTAGATAGGGCTGGACGTGCTCCATCCACCAGGACTCACGCATGCTGTTGTTAGGCTGTTTCTTGGTCATGCGCTCATGCTGTTGTCAAGGGTAACAACAGGAATGTCAGAGCTAGCATCTCGCAGTGGAAATCAAGAAATGACTTATGCCCCATAGCTAAAGTTTATTTATTGTGCCTGTTCTGACGCTGAATTGTGGAAGACAATCTTTTGTTGAATCTGTTTACATTCCAAAGATTGTGTAATCTTGTTTTGCTAACTCTGTTTTCAGATCCTCTTCACTATTACATTTTGGCTACTACTGAGGCAGCACCTCACAGAACAAAAAGCTCTTCAACAAAAGGAAGCTCTTTTATCTGAAGTCAAAATTGGAAGTGAGGAAAATGAAGAAAAAGGTAAATTAATGTATCAATAATGTGTGGCTGGAGATTTTCATGAACCCCAAAGCATATCATAAAGATTCCTGGGTTCAGACCAAATGGAAGCTGAGTATTTATCCATACCAACAAGGAACAGTAGTAGCACAGGTAAAATTTAGAGCACTAGTGAGATGATGCTGGAGGTAGTTTAAAAATACTGCTTTACTGGATCCTCTCCAAAGTAATTCCCATTTAACTGAAGAAGAAACTGAAGCTTACAGAAATTAAAGGTATTTCCCAAAACCATACTTTTAGTAAGTAAAGGTACTTTTAAGTTCAAATTCTCAAATCTTTTAAACTCAAATTATCTTCTAAAAATAACTTGTCACATGAATAAATCAGATAGTACTCAGTTATCAGCACCTGCGGCCTTACAGGCTTGTCTTAAAACATGCAGCCACCTAAGTGAGGTGTGAACTCAGTCCACACAGAAGAAGCACACTAGCCTGCCTGTCTGCTTCAAGGACTATACATAATAAAACCCAAGATCAGAGGAAAGAATTTTATTAGAACTTGAATTTGAGCACCTGATTTACAGAGGGCTCTGGCTAACAGTGAAAGCCCAAAATCCATTTGCAATATTTTCATTCAGGTTAAGCCTCCACTGAATTCCCTTGGACCATTGACCAGGGATGTGAATGGTCTTGCCTTCAGAAAGAACACAGCTATACTAAACCAAACGCAGTATCAAGTCAATGCTGACTCATAGAGACCCCACAAGCGGCAGGCCTAGGAAAGCCATTGATCTTGTTGCCCTCCAATCAAGCTTCAATCTGATTAAACTCCACCACATGTTCCTATTGGTCCAGTTGGGACAATATACCTATCTCCCCAGCCCCTCTGCAGGTGTAGGCCTCTTGCATAGGTCAGATGAACTCATCCCAGGTCCTTACCTTCGTGAATATGTAATTCAATAGAGATGTACTGTTTGCAGACTGTATTATAGACTATTAATACAGTAGCATCATACTTGAAAAGGAAACTATACATTTTTATGAAGTTTTGCTTACAAAATATTCACAAAAGCAAAGTAGCCTGTTAACTCTTTAACTCAGTGGCAAAAAGAAAACCAGCAAGGACTACTAACTCATGTGTTGTTGTTTTTAAATATAATTTCTTATTTTGCCATAACTAATGGATTAATTTTGAGTTATGAAATTCTATAAGATTCATATCTTGCCTATATGATTAAGGGTGTCTCTAATAACAGAATAACTTAACTAATGATTTAGTTGACTTATGCAATGGTTAACCTGACTCATTTCACCTTTATACCTCCCCTCAGGCTATGAATCTCCTAGTCGTTTGGATAAATTATTCAATTTTTAGACAGCCTAGTAAGTTAAAGATACTCCTAAATTTTAGTATCATTCAAACACATGCTTATAGGGCTAAATAAGATTTTCATCCAGTGGAAAAAATAGTTGGTGTTATTCTTAATTATTTTTTGAATAGCTTTGACAGTAAAATTATAACTATTCTCTAAATGTAAGTTAAACCAAGTGAAATGAAAGTATATAATTAAATATAATATCAATTAAATTATATTTGGCTCTAACTCATATATGTTCGGTTATTTATAGTTTCGATAAGATTGTTAGCATTAACCATATTTAATAAAATACTATTTTATTTGTAGCCACAAAACAATTAGAATTTAAAATTGATTTGATAGCTTTGATTTTTTTGGTTTCCTTTTTAAATCCTGAATATTTACACTTAGTTATCTTTGGATATTGAAAAAAATTAAGGTACTATAAAGAGATTAGTATAAAATCTTACCAGTTTATTTTCTTTTAAAGTATTATTTTGGAAGTTTATGAAACATGAGGAGTCTTCGTGGCATAATGGATTATGTATTGCCTGTAATCCCCAAGATCAGCAGTTCAAAACCAGTAGCTGCTCTGTGGGAGAGAAATGCAGCTTTCTGCTCCTGTAAAGATTTATAGCCTTGGAAACTCAAAGGGGCAGTGCTACAGGGTTTCCATGAGTCAAAATTAATTTTATGGACGTGAGCTTCAGGTTTTAGGAAAGTTGACCATGAATTGGTTTGAATGTTGCCTTATTTATCAACACTGTACAAATCATTCAAATCATGTATTCATTCATAGCATATGTAAGTCTGGGTCTCACATGTATCCTATTAGGTCAAGGTGTAGTTTGGGTTCAGTATCCAGCTAAGATTAACAGCACAGTTTTGTATTTTGAAGATGACGAGCTACCGGATACCGGAGAAGAGGAGCCCAAAGGAAAGGAGGAGGAAGAAGAAGAAGCAAAGGAAGAGGAGCTAGAAACAAAGAAAGAAGAGGAAGAAGTCGAAGAAGAAGAAGAAGATGACCAAGACATCATGAAAGTGCTGGGAAATCTGGTGGAGGCCATGTTCATTAAGTACTGGATTTACGTCTGTGGAGGGATGTTCTTCTTTGTCAGCTTCGAGGGGAAAATTGTAATGTACAAAATCATCTACATGGTGCTGTTCCTGTTCTGTGTGGCCTTGTATCAGGTAGGTGAAACCACTGCCCTCGACTGTTTTCTCACTTCTACCTAATTTTCATTTAACGAGATTTTAAGTTAATAGTCTTATGAAAGTGAATGATGAAAGTTAAACATGATATCCTAAAAATCCTGAAGTGCAAAGTGACTCTCTTCAGCTTGCTCATAATTTTAAACTTTAGTTTCTTAGAAATGTCAAAAAATATTTTTTAAATTCTTGATAACAGAAACCTATATGATGATACCTTAAAATAGAAATGTAAGTACAGTGGCTGGATAGTCTATCATCTCCCAATTCACTTTAATTTGAGGTTTTTACATCAGGACATTATCTATGCACACACATGTTTATATAATCCATTAGCTATTTACTATGTAATTAATTTTACAGTTCAAAGATTATATTAAAATGAATTAGCTTCTCTACAAATTCAATTTTAACTGACAGTTGAACAAAATCACTCTTTCACATCGGTTCATTCAGTTCCTGCTCATAGCAGCCCTACAAGACAGGATAGAACTGCCCTATGGGCTTTGAAGACTGTATATCTTTATGGGAGTGGAAAGCTTCATACCAAAAAAATATTATTAGATGTAGCCTATAAAACAATTAAAGCCATTATAATTCATGAATGTATATTTCACATGGGAACAAAAATATCTGCCAGTATTTACTAAGTTTTGAATTCTTTTAAAAATTCAGGGTAGATGTTCTCTAATTAATATCCACAAGCTTATGGTAAAAGCTTATGGTAAAGAGAAATGTCTCCTTGCCACACCAGTTCCACATTTTTATTCATGAATCTCAAAACGGGTCTGGCCTTGGCGCTCAGCAATACTAACGGTAGTATCAACTAGCACTCCTTGGATGGCTTCTATATGCCAGGTATCATGCTTAGAGATTAACAAATATTACTTATCCTTAAAACAACTCTGTAAAGTATACATTTATGAAAGAGAAAACAGAAATTCAGTGGATCCAGCAACTTGTCCAATGATACAGTGAGCAGTAAGTGATAGGAGTAGGATTCTAACTCAGGTCTATTCAACCCAAATTAGCAACAGAGTGTTTAAAAAAAAAACTAGAAAATTAAACCTCAGTAAATATGATCATCTTCATTGACTGAGCTATATATTTTTATTTTTTTCTCATAACCTACTTTCATTTTGTGTGTGATTTTCAACATCCGAATCACAGGTGCACTACGAATGGTGGAGGAAAATTCTAAAGTACTTTTGGATGTCAGTGGTTATTTACACTATGCTGGTGCTTATCTTTATCTACACATATCAGTTTGAATACTTCCCAGGCCTGTGGCAAAATATGACTGGATTGTCAAAAGACAAGTAAGAAATTTTGATTGTTGATGAAATGTGAAAGTGAAAAATGAGGAGCTGATACCAAGGGCTCAAGTAGAAAGCAAATGTTTTGAGAATGATGAGGGCAACAAATGTATAAATGGGCTTGACACAATGGATATATGGATTGTGATAAGAGTTGTATGAGCCCCCAATAAAATGATTTTTAAAACAAAGAAACAAACACAAAGTATGATATAAAGCACCATGTTTAGAACTACAACCTGAATTGGTGGTAGAGCTAAATATCAAGAGGCTAAGGGAAAAGCTCAAAGGATGGGATCATATTGTAACTAGACAAGCACTTCTTTGTGGTTTGTTGGGCACATATTGCATGATTCCACATGCAGACACTGTCCTGTGCTGAAAACACTACTGAACAGGCATAGTCTAAGCTCTGGGGGCTAACATCACAGTAGAGGAGAGGAACAAAACACCGCTCCCAGTGCAAATAAATGAATTACACACCCATAGGTCTGTGAAAGAGACCAACATCAGTCTGAAGTGGTGAAGAATAGAGAAATTAAAGTGGTCTAAAATTAAAATGAAATTTAAGTGGTCAGGAGAGTTTTTGCTGAGGAAGAGCACAGGTGAGTAAGGCGTTTCTCTTAAGTGTATGAATTGGGAATTGAGATAAAGAGGAACATTCTACACAACAGAAAAGTAAGTACAAAGATTCTTTGATACAAGCTACCTGGGACCAAGAGGGAGTGGGACAAGTTCTGCCAGATCTGTGGAGGACTTCAGGCACTGAATATGCTTGGTACTGCAAGAAGCCGTAGCTTCCGTTTTATTCTTGGTGAGATTTGATGGATCTTTCAAGATCCCTTAGCTGAGAAATGACCAGTAGAAACAACACAACCAATAAGCTAGCAATCCCAGTGAGAAATGGGGGTGTTCTCACCTGGTGTGGTGGGAGTAGAGGATGGAAGTGGTCACATTTGAAAGACGGGTAGGAGTTTGGAGGACATGTGAGTGAACTGTGTGTGATGAGAAAGAAAGCGCCAACGATTGCTTCCTGATGCCTGAAGTTTACACAAGTAGACAGTTGTACCACTTATTGGGGAGAGGGAGGTGAGGAATAGCTTTGTTCAGGAATTGAATATGATGCAGTTATGATAAGAAAGGCTCTTGTGTTTTGTTTTGTAGGCTTGAGGATCTTGGCTTAAAACAATTCAGCATGGCTGAACTCTTCACCCAGATATTCATCCCTACCTCCTTCCTGCTAGTGTGCATTTTACACCTCCACTACTTCCACGACAGGTTCCTTGAACTCACGGACCTCAAGTCAATTCCCAGCAAACAAGACAACAGCATCTACAGGTGAGCCAGTACAAGGAGTACGTACTACTTGGTATCTAGAAAGCAGCCTTCCTTTCACACCTTTGATTATCCACCTTGCAGGAAGCCAATACTGTGATTTAAGCATTTCAACCTTCACTCTCCTTGATTACAAACCCATCAGTGAACAAAAATAGAAACATATAGAATATTTGGTGTTACTTTCTGAAACAACTGGTAGTGACATCACTTGTCAATGTAAAGTGATCTTAATTATCATGTAAGTAGTAACTGTGCAGACTTAAATGTTTTATATAGTTGGGCATATGTATTTCCTGTCCCGGAAGGCTGTTTGTAGTTTTTAGAACATTTAAAGAATGTTAATTCAAAGGATGAGTTTTCTGTTATATTGATTATCAACGTATCAACATCCAGAATTGGCAGGGAATGCCGCAGAACAGTGGCTCAAGTCTAAAGAACCAGAGTTCAGTGAGCCAAATGTAGGTTCTAGTAAGCAAGCTGGCTTCTCCCCAGCACCTATGATATTGAGAGCAAGCCACACCTTTTAGGAGCTATCATATGGAGAATTACTATGTCTTAACTGTTAATCTACTGAGAGTCCTGGCCCAAGCAAGTTGGCACAAATCTTAACGATCACACCCAGGGTGCTGTTTTTCTTACTAATAATTTTCATCTCCCAGTACTTTTTGTTTCTGGAGTCCAAAACAATGATGAAATTAAAGTCAAAGTTATAAAGAAATATTGCCAGAACTTGGTTTTATTACTGTGTTTGCTTTCTCTTCCCACACCTCATTAGTGGCTGCTTTCTAAATTATGGCATACACGAATTTATTATATCCATTAAATTGATCTCAACACTGTTATTATCTATAAATATCCAGCTATCCTTTCCTTGGTTTATCCTGTGTGTGTGTATACAGTAAGCAAATGTCACTAGTGTCTGAAGCAGAATTTATTTTGTTTAGAATTACAGTTTCCAAAGCTAGCATTCAATTGACATTCTCAGTAAAATCTTTATAATGTACAATATTGCAGTTAATTGTATCTTTTATAATGTACAATATTTCTTTTATATACATGATACCTTTTACAGTGTACAATATTAAAGTTAATTGTAATTGAATATATAATAGGCAATACTGATTTATTCAAATGATTTGAATATTCATTAATTTTATTTTTTATTCATTCATTTTAATCACTTTAATTTGTCAATGCTTTGTTTTAGAAAGTGTTATTAATATAGAAATAAAACAACCATTTTGCTATTCTATTCCATGTTAGAAAACATAAAAAATGTATGGACTAGGGTGACTTCATGCCATTTTCTTGTTTCTTCTGGTAAGGAGCAAAGACCAACCTTTTAGATCCTGTTTTATTTGATATGATAGCATTTACTCTGAAAATTTCAGCATTATACAGTTTTAAAAGTATCTGACTTGAGGAAATGAGCAGAGGGCCTGCCATCTTCCAGGTTTGTTGTTTTCCTACAACAATGACTCAAACATCGCAAAAATGTACGATTGGTCAGAGTTTCCTTCTGTTGGACGTAAGATTACGATGAATTGGAATTGACTGATGACAATAGCAGCACTGCACCTGGTAGCTTCACCCTAGTTCGTAGATCATGTGTTGATGACAGTACACCCTATGAGATAGACCTGATCGGAGCCCAGCTGCTCATTGTATCTAACCGTCTCCTTTCTCTCCACCTGTGCTTCCCTGCCGTCTCATGCCCTCTTTGCTCCGTCTCTCCGCATAGCCATGCCAAAGTCAATGGCCGTGTGTATCTCATAATAAATAGGTGGGTATGTCAATCTTCTCTCTTTTCTTTTGGCTAAACACTGTCTCTTGTTACTGCTTTCCCTCTTTCCGGCTCTATACATGAAAAGCTGCTTCTAGCAGTAGGCAAGACCTTGCACCCACTCCCAGGTGTGTATAGGGCCCTACCATGGGTGATCAAACTAAGGCGTGCTCTCCAGTGAGTCTGAGGTGTGCAGGGTCTTTAGCTGGTGCTCAGCCTTTGGTCATGGTGCAAACTTATGGCCCAACAAGTTTTTCATTGGCAGAATGAATCCCAAAGCTTATAGAAGGTTCATCACCTCCTAGAATATATAATATACAGCTCAGTTTAAGAACCGTTTCCTCCACAACTCTTCTTATTAATGCCAATGTCACCTGCCGGAAGTCCTCTGACACCCCATCACCCTGTTTCACTGCTGCTCCCATGACACCGTCTCTAGTCTACAGTTGCCTGCGTACACTCCCCCTGACTGAGGCGGGAGCTCCTCAGGACCAGATACCTTGTGGAAACCACTAGACGTCTCCACACAGCATACCATGAGGCCTTCCCATTAGGTGATACCCAAGAGTGAGCTGCTGGATGAGATGAACGTAAGCACAAAATGTATGGTTAAACAAAAATGAAACACCAATTTCTTCAAATAATATGTCTGCTTGCCAAATAATATTTTATATTGCCAGATGTCACAATTTGTTTGTGCACAATAAAAGATGTAAAGATAAGCTTTGAGACATAGTCCTTCCCTCAGAGCTCATCTACTAGCTGGGAAAGCAAAATGTGCAAAAATAACCGGACAGAATAAAATAGCTATTTGGTTAATATTGTATATCACATGATCCTTAACGTGCCCTTAGAATACAGAGAAAGAGAGAGAGAGAGCTACTTTGGAATATACTTTACTAAGAAATACTACCACTTTTTTAAGTAGGTAAAATTAAAATGTTCATCCCATAACTTCATATCATTAACTAATAAAGCTAGTCATTTAGCAGATAGATGCATGCATTTTTGCAATGAATAAAATTATCAGAACATATCTTAGAAAGGCTTACTGGTTTTCTGATTCACTAGCTTTTCTCTCTGGTAAAATCCTGAGACTGACAACCAGGAGCCTGTAAATCAGGATTTATAGAAGGAAACAAGACGTGCCGCGTCAACGAGTCATCTTATGAAAGGAGGTAGAATAAGGATGCCCGGTTGCTTTGAGAACTTTTGTTTGATGTTGCTTTTGTTGACAGTGGTGGAGCGAAAACTCAAGCTATCAGGTCTTTAGCTGATTTCTAAAGAAGTAAGACACAAATTCTAGCTAGAAATGTTGAGTAATATTTACATCTCCTTCCTCCAAAATATACTAACCTTTCCTTGCTCGCACTCATGTGCTTGCATTTTAAATCTGTCTTTTCTCAATCTCTGATTCTAGTTCAGCCTGTGCTCTCTCTGTCTCCTTGCTCCTTGTAAGTATTGATGAGGAGATGGCAGGGACAGAGCGAGGGCAGAAGCTCATGTGCAGCCCCTGGTCTAAGTGTCTGCCCCCATTGTCCTGAACTTCCACATCAGAGGAAGTCCATGAATCGATTACTCCAAATGGATGGCCCATGATTCACTCATATTCAGGATTTTTTAGAATATGAGGGTGTGTAACGACACCCCCAATTAAAAACCTGAAGTAGCCTGCCATTAGCACTATTTTCTTTCTAATGAAATGTCACTCGTATTTCCCTCAGTGTTCACACATTAAGAAAGACCATCTCTATAGTCCAGGGTCAATATTACCAGCAAAGCATTTCCACTTTACAATGTACTTCTGAAATGCTGTGTGTAGAGTGTGACCAAGAGCCCCAGTGGTGGCTTATTAAAGTACTCGCTTCCTAACCGAAAGACTGGTGATTCCAACCGCCATTGGCTCCGCTAGAAAAAGACGTTGCACTCTCCTTCCAGGAAAGCTGCCGTCTAGGAAACTCACAAGGCAGTTCTATCATGTCTTATAGGGCTTCGATGAGATGGAATCACCTCAAAGTCACACAATCACATTATGAGCAATTTCAATAGGACCTACTAGGGGTGAATGCTTTTCTAAAGTGAATGCACTTTCTTCTCCCATAATTTGTTTCATTATGCATAGTGTCCGTTGATAAAGAAAAGAATGTGCTTTTTAAATGTTAGTTCTAGTCTATGAGAATGGTCACGCCTACAGTTTAACTTTATATATTCTCTGAGTTGATGACAATTTAGACATACCTTATAAAATGTGAGGTAGGCCAGTATATTTTGGACAGAGGGTAAATTTCATAAAATTTTAGCAACATAAATATTTAGGTTAAGTAAAAATTATGACTTAAGAATTATGCTTGAGATTGAATGAAACAATTTTACAAGACAAGGGTCTTATTCATTAAGTATACCTTTTTAAAATAATGTAAATGAAAATGACACACGTGGACCTCCGCAGATAGAATTCGCAGGAGTCACATCAACCACCTCTGTAGAAATAGCTGACGGAGAGCTCCTTCTGGATCATCAGTGAGAACAAGGCACGGAGCGGACTATAGAAGCGACCATCAGTTCTCGTATGCAAATTGATGTTAGAACTGAAGAAAATGAAAATAAGTCCACAAGAGCCAGAGTACAACATTGTTCTAAATGTATGGACCATTTGAAAAATAAATTTGCCACACTGAACACTATGACTGCAGACCAGATAAGTGGGGAAAGATGGCAGGGACATCAAGCCTGAAGGAAGACAGAGTCATTGGTGAGACAAGAAAGACCAAAGTGGATGTCAGAAGAGACTTGCTCTGGACAGATTGCTGTTAGGTGCCATCCAGTTGGCTCTGCCCCAGAGCAATCTTAAGGAAACACTGCCAGCCTTCATTCCATCCTCACAATGGTTCCTCTGCCTGAGCCCATTGTTGCAGCCACTGTGGCAGCCCATCTCATTGAGGGCCTTCCTCTTTGTCTGTGTCCTTCTTGACTGGAGAGTAGCTAAAGTGAATGGAAGAAATGAAGTAAAAGACCCAAACAGAAGACTTCAAAAGGTGGCTTGAGAAGGCAAAGTAAAAGTATTAAAGGGGACAATAAATCAAACCTCAAGTTTAAATGTTGAAGGATTCTATGGTTAAATAGTAAACATCTGTTTACTAGTGTTCTATTAGCTATGCAAAGACATTCCATTGTGTGCATAATAACAAATTATGCATCACCTTGAAAAGAATGGGAGTTCTAGAACATTTTGTTGTGCTCATGCAGGACTTGTCCATGGAACGGAAGGCAGTTGTATCTTTAAAAAAAAAAAAAAAGGCAGCTGGTCAAAGACTGCATGGGTTAAGATCAGGAAAGGTGTGTAACAGGGTTCTGTCCTCTCACCATACTTATTCATTGATCTGTATGCTAAGCAAATAACCAGAACAACTGGATTATGTGAAGAAGCATGTCACCTCAGCATGCAAGAAGGCTTATTAAGAATCTATCATATGCAGATGCACAGCCTTGCCTGCTGAAAGTGAGGAGGACTTGAAGCACTGGCTGATAAAGATCAGGGATCGTAGCATTCATATGGATTACAACTCAGTGTAAGGAAAACTAAAATCCTCACACTTGGACCTCTAATTAACATCATGATACATAGAGAAAAGTTTGAGGTTGTCAAGGATTTCATCGTCCTTGGATTCACAACCAGTACTCAAGAGATTAAATGACGCATTGCATTGGGTCAATCTGCTGCAAAATAACTTTTTTAAAGTGTTGAAAACCAAGAACTACAGTGCACTTGTCCCAAGCCATGAGGTTTTTTCTTTTTCTTTAATATCTAATGGTTTTATTATGGCACAATCAAATGTCTTTGTATTGAAACAGAAATAAACATCTTCCTGTTAACTCTGCTTTGAGCCAAGATCACTTGGCTCAAGTTCAGCAATATCACTGTTCCACATCCTCTTCTGAATCTGGCCTGTCAATGTACTGCTGCCATTGTTGTTGGATGATCTGAAGCAAAATTTTGCTTGTGTGTGATGTCATCGCCTCATATGAATATTGTGTTAGTATATGAATATTGTATTAGTCTGGGTAGACTAGAGAAACAAAGTCATGGAAACTCATATGTGTATAAGAAAGAAGTTTATATACAAGAGCAGTTGAATATTGAGGAAACATCCCAGCCCAGTCCAGATCAAGTCCATAAGTCCGATATTAGCCCATGTGTCCGAAACCGATCTATAAAGTCCTTTTCTAACTCACAAAACACATACAATGATGCTGAATACCAGAAAATCACAGGTCAGTGGGTAGGAAGTCCTGTGGGTCCAGTGGCATTGTAAAAATCTCAGCGCTGGCAGGGGCCTTCACGTGGCTTCTCCAGCAGCCAGGGCTGCATCCAGGTAGGTCCATGTGGCTTCTTCTCAGGGATGTCTCGCAGGGAGTCAGCCTTGTCAATAGAGAATCTCCAAGGGAGTGCATCAAGAGAGAGAAGTGTCTGCCGCCTGCAAGGAGGAAAAGCAGGAGTTCCCAGAATTCTCAGGAGAAGGCCATGCTTTCACAGAGGCCTCACTGGTTATACCTTGATTGATATGCCAGACTCCACCCCTTCGCTCGTAATCTTCTCCAGTCCCAAATTGACACCAGATTATGTAACTACCACACATGTGAAAGTTAAACGTTGAGTAATGACGGTCAGAGAACAATCAATGCATTTGATTTGTGGTGCTGGCGGAGAATATCAAAAGTGTCCTGGACTGCCAAGAGAGTACCCACGTCTGTCTTGGAAGAAGTACAGCCAGAATGTTCCTTAGAATTCAGGATGGTGACGTGTCTCACTGACTGTGGACAGGTTGTCAGCAGAAGCCAGTCCCTGAAGAAGGGCATTATGCTTAGGAAAGCAGAGAGGTCGTGAAAAGAGGAAGGCCTTCTTTCCGCAGGATGGACTGACGCAGTGGTTGCATCAATGGGCTCAAACATAAGAACAACAATAGGTTCAAGCAGGACAGGCAGTGTTTTGCTCTGTTCGACGTGGGGTCACTATGAGTCAGAATATCTTGATGGCTCCTAACAGCAGCAACATGTGCAAAATCTTGAAGACGTTCAATAGAAAACAAAGGTGTCACTGTACCCAAAGGAATTGCTGAAGGCTCAACCATTTCAAGAAGTAGTGTATGATCAAGAACCTGCGGCATTGAAGGCATTGGTTAAAAATAAAGTTCTATGAATTACCAGAATTCCAATAGAGATTTTCAACAAATTGTTGCAGTGTTGGGAGCACCCACTAGTCTCTGACAAGGAATTTGGAAAAACTAACCAATCGGCTGGTAGGGATTCACATTTGTGTCCATTCTAAAGAACGATGATCCAACAGATCCAACTGTATTGTATAAAATAAGGAAAAACATACATCAAGGTAGAATCTTTTCATCCTAATTGTTTAATCTGCATCCCACTGTCGAGTTCTTGAAGTGATTTCAATTGATAGTGACCCTACAGGACAGAGTAGAAAAGGTTTTCTGAGACTTTAAATTTTTTCAGGTGCAGAAAGTGTCATATTTCTCTGTGTTGAGCAAATAATGCAAGGAGCTGGACTCTGTGAAGAAGAACTATGGCACCAGGATTGGAGGAAGACTCATTAACAACGTGAGATATGCAGACGACACGCACTTCGTGCTGAAAGCAAATGTTTTGTGTTCAAGCACTGATGAAGATCAAAGACGACTTATGGCCTTCGGTGTGGATTCCAACCAAACACAAAGAAAACAAAAATCCTCACAACTAAACCGAACAACATCATCATGATAAGTGGAGAAGAGGCTGAAATTGCTAAGGATTTCATTTTACTTGGATCCACCATCAACATTAATGGAAGCAGCAAATCAAGAAATCATATGCAGTGCTCCATTGACCAAATCTGCAGTAAAAGTGTTGAAAAGCAAAGATGATGTCACTTTAAGGACTAGAATGTGCCTAACCCAAGCTATTGACTTTTCAATTGCTCCATGTGAAAACTGGACAAGATTCCTATTTCTTATTTTCTGAGGGAGTGGAGGAGACTTGATAAATTATCCTAGAAGCCAAAGACAGGTATATAAGCTTTCCCAGAGAACGGATAGAGCTGTTTGACATACCAAGATGGCCCTTCATCTGCCTCTGAAAGTGCATTGTGAGGACCCTCTGTATGGATCCCCCTTGGCAGCCCTTCCTGTAGTCTGTGAAGGCACGCACCCAGCACGGACCTGGTACCAGCAGACAGATTCTCAAAGAAAGAACATGTGCTTCCTTTTTTTTACATACCCTGTTTCCCTGAAAATAAGATAGTGTCTTATATTAATTTTTGCTCCCAAAGATGCGCTAGGTCGTATTTTCAGGGGACGTCTTATTTTTCTGTGAAGAAGAATACAGTACACATTTATTGTTGAACAAAAAAATGGAAATTTATTACCTGTATACGGTACGGTAGTAGTTGTCATCACAAACCAGCATAACCAGACAAACTGTGAATCCTACAGTATCAAGAATTTCTTGTTACTACCATTATTTCCATGTACAACAATCTATGGTACATTTACTCATTTATTCAGTGACAATCATGTCATCATCTTCTGGAACATCATCGTAACAATCCAAACCCTTATTTTTGGGGAGGTCTTATTTTTGGGGGGTGCCTTATATTTCAGCGAGAGGCAAAACTGTAAGTAAGTCTTATTTTCGGGGGATGTCTTACTTTCGGGGAAATGGTATCTATTTTAATATACCAAACAAAAAAACAAAACCCCAAATCTGTTGCCATCCAACCGATTCTGACCCAGCAAGATAAAGCCATCCAACAAGACAGCATAGAACTGTCCCCAGAGGGTTTCTAGAGTTGGAATCTTTACAGAAGCAGGCTTCCATAGCTTCCTGTGGCACAGGTGGTATGTTTGAACCTTTTGATTGGCAGCTGAGCATCAAACTACTGTGCCAGCAGGACCCCGATTTTAATGTACGAGTTCTATTAAGCAGTGTGTTGACAGAATTACAACCTAAATTTAGTTTCCCTTTCTTATTGTCCAGCTTTGTGGTTCCTGGCAAAGGCATATTTCTGACTTTGTCTTCTCATTAGCACGCAGTTATAATACAGATGATCATAAATTATGATTTTTAAAACCTAGTAATCAAAAATCTACCTTCTGACCATGGCTCCTTGCTTTTACATCCCTGTGTCGAAGGCACTGTGCTAGCACTGACAGGGATCATCTCAGTGTTCGCAGAATTCTATGAAATGGACATGCTGTCATCTCATTCTCTGCATGTACAACTGGAGAATCCAAAGGCACGTTAAACAGGTTTCCCATGTCCGTAGCTACTAGGTTTTCTCTCCAGGGTTTGAACCCACAGCTTTATGATCTAAAAGTCTGTTAACATTACTCTCTATTTCCCCCAAAAAAATGCTATCATAAAAAAGGGAATGAAAAAGTAAGAGTCACATTGGTGTCTTTAAAAGCATGAGCTCCAATCATGCAATCAATATATATTTGGCCTATATGAATTTTATACATGTAGACTTTCATGACTACGTAACAAAGAAATGTCTCAAATAGTTAACTTCTTGACTAGGAAATGCTATTATTACTGGTGTGTTTCTATCTTCCTTCCTTCTTTGTTATTACCAGCTAATGAGATGAGACAGTCCTAATCCCTCATAAAGGTTAGGTCAGTGGTAAAAGATATGGAAAGATTGCCAATCCCATCTAGTTAGATAATGATATCTTAGAGATTATTGCAGGTTTCTTGTGGATTATTATTATTAAGACTGATTTTCACAAAGTTTACCCCAATGCTCTTCTTTGATCCCATCCTCCAATGATATGTCCTCACTATTCCGGCCCGCGCCCAGCAGTGGGCTACCTTTCACTCACCGGTATCTCCAGTAGCAGCTGCAGCAGAGCCCTGTCTCTGTAAGCATCACTCCTTAGTGGGTAGTGGTTATTAGAAAGTTGCCTTCTCACCAGTGAGACGCACAGCAATCTAATACAGACCTTCAAACTGCACTCCAAAATGACTTGGCAGCTCCAGGTTCAATCCATTGTGCCGCCTGGTCTCTTTCTAAGAAGATCATGTTGCACACTAAAAACGGCTGAGTGGCTTGTCATAAATTATAAGTATTTTCTCACTTATCAAATGCTGCCATCTGGCATGAAAAAATACACGTGGACAAGTGAGTAGCACTAACCGGGTTTACATTTAAGAGCACTCTATATGGGAGCCCGAACCAAACAGGAACCGCAAATATGTGTCCTAAGGTTTGGTGTGCAGCACTGGCATGCAAGATGTGGTGCTGCAAGTCAACATGGCTTGCTTTCCAGGAGTCAGGAGAACCAACTGACAAGCTTAAGAAAACAGGGAAGTCGTGTGTCAACATCATTTCTTCTAATGTTCAACAACCCCCGCCCCTGAGGGTTCTTTCTTCCTTAAATTAATTACATGTTCCAAGTATACTTTATTTTTTGTGAATTATTATATTTTCCTTTATTTTTCTTTATCCAAGTATACTTTAAATGAACTGCTTGACATCCTGTTGAAGAGAATTTATTTTTGAGTAATTCAAACCTCCCCCTAAAACAAACCCACTACCACTGAGTTGGTTTAAACTCAGAGATACCTTATTGGGGAGTTCTAAGGCTGTAAATCTCTATGGGTGCAGGGAGCCTCAATCCGCCCCCCCCCACAAAGTGCCTGGTGGGTTTGAAGTGCTGACCAGTCAACTGTTTACCTGACAGCACTAACGGCAATGTAGAAACGTAGAAATAGTTATTCAGAATTAAAGGTTTATTTACAAAAGCAAAATCAACAAGTCCAAAAGAACCTTGGATTTTATCTATTCAAACTATCCCATTTCAGAAGAACTGAATTACATTTGAGAAAGGGTAGATAATTTACTCTGAGCTGACAATTATACAAATATATGAAACAATATTATTAATCATCTTCCTGTCACCAGTAGGCTGAAATGTATACTTTGATTACAAATGGTATGGATTAATAGTACTTCCAGTAGATTGCTCCTGGTATGCACTTTATTTTCCACAGATGTTATTTAACACACTCATTTGAATCTATTTAAAACATTTTTTAAATGCAAGTGAAGGTTTATACTTGTTATTGCTCACTTTTTGATAAATGAAAGGGGGCTTTGAAAACTTCATGAAAAAAATTCCATTATCTTTTCATTCCATTTTCCACAAACTTTTTGAAGCCCTGGTGGCATAGTGGTGATGCATTGGGATGCTAACCACAAGGTCAGCAGTACAAAGCCACCAGCCATTCTGCATGAGAAAGACGGGCTTTCAACTCCCATAGAGTTACAGTCTTAGAAAGTCACAAGGGCAGGTCTACCCTGTCCTATCGTGTCACTCTGAGTCAACATGGCAATGAGTTTGTGTTTGTTTGTCATGAACTATAATGACTGTAATAATGGGAAACTCAGCCTCCTGTATTACCATGTGGCCCAGGTTCTCCCACAACACCTAGCAAAGGGTTTATTCCAATAAACATCAGAAAGGGGACAGTCTACAGACAACTTACTCTTGAAGGCATTTAGCTTCAGCTGCATAAACCTTTAAGTGTTCAAGTGGGATGAGTTCTTGCAAAGGTTGGCTTAGGGCACACATTCTTTCAGAATCAAAGCAACTTTTTAAAAATGTGAATGAATTGATTCTTGCAATGATTCGTTGCATTGCTCAGAAAGCATGGTGTGTTTTGCCTCAGAAGTCTCTATGTGCTTCCCCTTAACACCCTGCAATCCCATCAGGTCTCGAGTCAGTTGCCAAGCAGAGGGTCCATAGCAAAGCACGATCTCGCAGTGCCTTCCTAGAAGGCCCCTGACACTAGGCCATGACTGCAAACAGCATACAGGAATGCAAACTTGGATGTTATGTAGCATGATATGTTATCTCTGACATTCCTTATAATTCTTTTGTTCTCATCTCTTTCTTTTCTTTCTATTTCAATTACTTTGAGCAGCATCAAGAAAAAATTACCAATTCACCAAAATGAGTAAGTCCCCCTGTGAAGTCATGAAATGCTTGTACTACATGATGCCATTTCATGCTTCTGCAGCCTAAACTCTGACCATTTTCTCCTTCGGGTAAAATGTCAAGTTTAGGTGTTGATAGCTTCATTACTGGTTAATCACTAGAACCCAAATTAGAGAAGCTAACAAAACATGGGTTTACAGTTTGGCTTTAGAAAGCACTTAAAAACCAAGATGCTCGCACTCCACATTGAACGGCCGTTGTGTCCACACTGATTTTCAGTTTGTGTACCCTCATTTGACAGTCCCCTCACTTGATAACCCTGACACCCTTTCCTCTTCTGACTCAGCTGCTCTCTGCCTACAGACTGGCCCATCCCGAAGGCAGCCTTCCTGATCTGGCCTTGCTGAACGTGGCCTCCAGCCTGGAGAAGCCAGAGGGGAAGAGGGAGGAAGAGTCTGAAGAGGAGACACAAGAGGACAACTCTAAAAACATGGAGACCGGCAAGATGGAGAAAGACAGTGGGGAATCAGAGGAGGATGAAGAGGACTCCGATGAAGACTCAGAGGAGGAGGAATATGCATCAGGTAGGTAGCCCTCTACCAGTGTGCTCAGGAAACGCTAGCCAGCAGACAGAAAGAATGAAACCGGGATCAGCTCCTTTCAAATAGATGGTTGACCAGTCAGTTAAACAAGACTCATTGTTTTTCATAGTTACTGTAGCGGTAGTATTCTTGTTCAAATTGCTCCAATAATCTCCTTGTAGAAGGGAGCAAGTGGCTGGCTATCAGTTACTAGTCTGATACAGTGATTCCTTCCAACGGTGACTGGGTTTAGCGTGTACCGTTTTCTGTTTTTCAGGATATTCAGAGAGGGAAGATCCACCAGATGCAGGAGCAGGTAGCTGTGTGGAGCTCCTGAAATTGCTAGCCCCAGCCTAATCAAAGACATTCTCTAGACAATTGGAGGATATTATACAAGAGGAAAAACATCACTTCAAGCCATCTCTGAGAGATGTTTTGTTGTGTTGGTCATTTTAGGGCATTCCCTTTGGGATCTTTAGGCTCTTCCTATATTTTTTGGGACTGGGAATGATGAGTTAATATGGCGTGATGATGATGAGATGGGTTAGTTTATCACGAACTATTATCTGACAGATAGTATTGAAAGATACTTCGGTAACTACTCTATTCCATAATTCTTAGAAAATACGGGACCATGGCCTTTGAGGTGAAATCAGATGAAGCTGCTAAGTGCTACCATCGTCTTTGCTGATCCTTTGTGCTTTCTAAAAGTAGGAAATATAAAAGCACATTATTGGAGTGTGTTATGTTGGGTTGTCTAGAGAAACAAAGCAGTGACATTCATATATAAATAAAAAGAACTTTATAGCAGGAGGTAATTTTGTATCAAGAAGGCATGCCAGTCTAACTCTGGTCCATTGGTTGGATGCTAGCTGGAGCCCTCATCAGACTCACGTAGCTAAAGGCTGATAACCCAGAAAGATGAAGTGGGAGACAGTGAGATCACATTCTTGTGGGTGCAGAGTCGTGTGGATCCAGGGTCAGTGGTGGCATGGCAGGGTGCTGACAGCTCAGAGGTTGGCCCCAGGGTCAGTGGCCTACCTGGGACCACCCCTGGAGATAGACACAGAGTTCCAGCAAGCAGGAAGGCAAAGGGTCACAAAGGGAGAAACATCTTCCCCGTGTCTATTTTATAGAAAAGACTACACCCCTAAGTAGGTATCATCAGGCTGTAACCTGATCGATAACTTGGACTCCACCCCTACACTTTTAAACAGGTCCAAGTGGACATAAAATCTAACCACCACACGGAGAGTAGTTTGTGTTACTTAAAGCCAAATGCTTTAATTACATGAAATTAATTCATAGCAGTATCTAGACTTGTGTTAGCCCAAGCAACCAGATGCCACAGCCTAGCCAAAGTGACACAGCCAACTGCCCATTCCATCCATACGTCAAGATGTTTCTTAGTATTTTTTGATACCACTACTAGTAGTATGTGGCAGTTTCTAGAGCCTTGGGGGTGTAGTGGTTGTGCATTAGACTGCTAGTTGCAAGATCAGCACTTCAAAACCACTGACTGCTCAGAGGGAGAAAGATGAGTCTTTCTAATCTTAGAGAGAGCTGCAGGCTGGGAAGCCCATGGGGTAGTCCTGCTGTAAGGGTTTCCAGGAGTCATTATGGAGGTGACAGCAGGAAGTATGGTTTGAGTTTAAGAATTCCAATAGGACATTTCTAAGATATTGTCTTAGGCTGGCTTTTCTATATCATGGCTTCTTAAATGGTGGGTTACAACCCCAGAAGGAAATTCACGTAAACTGAATGCGAGGTCCTGAAACATTTGGCCAGAGTCATAGGCTGGTGAACACGAAGCAACCAAAGATTGATTCCAAATCACATGTTAATGAACCCTAGGGGTTTCTGCCAGTGCTTGCCCGTGTTGCAAATTTTGGGGGTGCAAAGGGGTCGAGCATGGAGAAGTTTCAGAAGCCCTGCTCTAGAGAAGCAAAGTCAGCTATGTGTGTGTGTGTGTCTGTGTGTGTGTGTGTGTGTGTGTGTGTGTGTATCTCCATTGAGAAAAGAGCTTGATAAAAGAAAATCAGGGAAGTTCAAATGCAATCAGCTTCAGGGGCTGATGAACTGAAGATAGGCAGGAAGACCACAGGATAGTGACTGTAGAAGCAGACAAATCCAAGGTTATCAGGCCAGACTTCTGATTGAAGAGTTGAATGAACCCACTGTGGCAGATCAGATAGCAGGCCTCTGTTGAATCCCAGGGTTAGCATGCAATATGGGAGGCCATTGGCTCAAGTCCAAAGAACCAGAAGTCCATAAGCTAGATGCAAGGTCCAGATCCAGCATAAAGTAAGCAACCTTTCCCACAGTATCCACTGATAAGGGAAGCAGGCCAGACTCCCCGGGCCATTAATTACAAGAGGGCTATGACCTGAGCATGGATGTTGCGTTCCACCCTAATCTCATCCTATTACGGAGGCTTACAACTGATTTACCGTGATTTCATCACATTTGGACAGGTCATAGGGGATTGCTAGGTGTTCACTGCTAAACCACAGAGAATTCTGGGCCAGTCAAGTTGACACAAAACCTTAAGATCACAGATGTATTTTAAATAATAACAGAAAATGAAAACCACTTTTTTTTAATGTTCAGAGTGGGTTTCCTATTTTTCAGACTTGCGGAACAAATGGCACCTGGTGATCGACCGTCTCACAGTGCTCTTCCTGAAGTTTCTGGAGTACTTTCATAAGCTGCAGGTGTTCATGTGGTGGATTCTGGAGCTGCATATAATCAAAATTGTCTCATCATACATTATCTGGGTCACTGTGAAAGAGGCAAGTTAACACTGGTATAATTGTCAGGCCTAATAGAACCATTCA